GCAATGTAGAGTGACAAAGGACCCAACAAACTGCTGCAAAGCAATTTGTAGCGAGTCTTAAAGAAAAATCATTCTGAAACAGCCAAACAGGTGGGCTCTTTCCTGTAAATGGGTGGGCGTCTTATGACGCCAAAATTTGGCGTTCTATAGAGGATGCCAATATTTTGGCGTCATAAGACGCCCACCCATTTACAGTGTTCACTAGTTTATATGTTCTTACTTACCAGGCTACATGCGGACGCTCGTCACTTTCTCCGTGGTGTCGATACTGCTGCTAGTGCTGGGCTTCCTGTCGGCGCTCTACACTTTCAAGGAGCCGCGGTACACCTTCAAGCGGCTGTCCGCCGGGATCCAGTTCATCGCATGTAAGGAATGAGCTATACACTGCAATGCAAAGGAAAAATTGTCATTTCATTGTAAATACGGACCTCCTGCACATCTAACTGTATGACACAATGACAGTTGACAGCAAATCTCAACGGATAGTTTCAACGGCGAAACGAAAAAGTTCTACAGTTAAAACTGGAAAACGAAAAAGATTATCAAGTTTTAACTGTCAAACTGGCCAGTTGGACAATTTTTATTTATCAGTTCCGCAGTTTAAAATGCAAGTCTTAAGTTTTGCAGTTGAAACTGTCATCTTGGTATACAGTTTGATTTGCAGAGGATGCGTTTAAAAAGATAGCACTCGACCACAACGCTTTCCAACGCGTGCAACCTCACTCTCGGTGCTTACAGTCTGCGGCCTGCTTGTCGTGATCGAGGTGTTCCGCAAGGCCGCCGAGTACGAACAGATAACCCAGCTGGGCGGGGTGCCGCTCGTCATGGGTTACTCACAGGCAAGTCTTCGCAACCACAACAAAGTTGTCATCCTCCGGTCTTCGTGATGTTCACGAGTGTCGTCCTCGGCAGGTGCTGGCGTGGGTGTCGCTGGCAGGCCAGATACTCTCCTCCTTCTTCTTCCTCCTCTACTCGCGCAAGAAGAAGCGCAACAAGGCGCCCAACGAGGAGGTGGCCATGGCCGACGAGCCCACCATCATCGGCCGGTAAACACCACCACACCATTTCTTTTTTAACCTTTTTTTCTACCAAATACGCACAAACAACCTGTAAAGTTTTCAATAAAGGGAGCGAGGAGACGATTTCCTGTTATTGTTTACTTCTTTTTAATGCTCGAAAAGTCCCGCCCCACACGATTTAAAAAATGTCTCCTATTACGCGGATTTTCCTTAGTTTTTTGAGACTTCCTCAAAATCGTGAAGAGTTTTCCTTAAATTATGGAAGTTTGACCTTTTTCTTTGAACAACGTGACATTGTTTCCACCGTACAAGCTACAAGCCCGTAACACGTAAGTCCCGTGCAAATTTAACTCAAGTAGGTACGTATACAAAAATGAAACGGTTCACTGTTAAAAGCTTACGGTGGATTTCAGCGTAGCTTACGGTGCCATTCACCGTAAATAAAGAAAGATGATTTGTTGATTGCTTTGCCATCATGGTTCTCTGTTAGTCATTCAGTGAATGAATTGCATTTTCCCAAACCCAAAGGAGATACCTTTCCCGTCATATTTCGCTAAGCACTGTTTGTCTGTGCTTCTTTGACCGTAGACGTCTAATGAACTAAACACGGAGGCGCCGAGTGCAAGCGCTCACCACGCCCAGTGCGACGTCAATAATCCATTAAGGAAATTGATTTAGTAGAACAGCTTAATGTCTGTCGACTATAGCGTCATGGGATGCTTGCAGAGCATATCTTCACTACATTCGTACACCTCCTATACTTTTGCCTTTTCATGATACGCAATTGTAGTGAGGATCCTCTGGGATCCTCACTCAAATTGAGAAAGAATCATCACTCTACCGTTTTAAGGAGATGAAAACTCGTTGTTGACCGACAACACGATCAATACTGGCAGTGTCTGCCCAAGCTCAACGGACCCGGCCTTTGCCACTCGACCCAAACCTCAGCTCAGTAGCGCAGCCGATGGCCTCCAACCGGGCGCTGCGCCACCCGACGCCGCCCCAACGCCCGCTACACTCGGTGGCTCCGCGTCAGAAACATGTGCACTTCGTGTGTACTCCTCCTGACTCACCGTCCACGACGCCAAAGGTGTTTGCCGTGCGGATGGCATCCGCAAGCACCCCGATGTGGGGCTCCCCCGTCAAGGCCTGCAGCGTGGCGGCGGCCCCAGAGGAGCCAAGCCGCCCTTTCTTTGACGGGCTGCAACCGCTCGCGTACACGGGTGCGGCTCTCGGGATCGTCCCGGTCTCCTTCCGGCCCCGTAAGTGCACCTCCCTGGAGGGAGCCGGTGGTGGCCCACCTGTACTGTAGCGTGCCTGTCCTGTCCTCAGTGCGGTTGAGCTTCCACCCGCTCCGCTCCACGCTGCTGTACGCGCTGCTGGTGCAATCGTTCACCTGGTGGGAATTGTTCTACGTCATGACGCCTTGGAGAAATGGACAGCCCACCGCGCAGGACAAATTTCCTAATAACAAGGGTAAATTGATACGGAACGGTCTGGTCGTTTTTATTTAGACAGACTGAACCCGTGTTCTGGACCTAGCCCAACCGGATCAGAAGGCTGTTCTCTTAAATAACAGACTAATGCGTAGACTAGTCGTTCCGCATGTTTGAAAACTTCTTTCACAAAGAAAATCATATTCACTGTTGTTGAATTATTTGTCTTTTATTCGTCCCGGTTTTTATTTAAAACTTCTTTCACAAAGAAAAAGAAGTTTTAATTTTGAATTAATTATATTCATGTATTGTATTCAGTCATTAAGTCTCAAATTCTACAAACAAGTAAGGCTAAAGTGGCTAAAGTGACCAGCATAGTTCATGACCTGGCACAATGGGCGTTTCACATTTAAATGTGAAGAGCAATAGGTACGGGAGCACAGTTTATTTTTAAAGCGAACAAGTCTGTTACGCGTTAGAGCACCCAAGATGAATACTGGGAGGTTCCGTGCAGATTCTGTTTCTGGGTACAGGGTTTTTAGCAGTCGTGAGCTGCTTCGAGAGCGTGCACACCACGGTGCACCTCACTGGCTCCGTGATCGTGCTCGTGTTCTGGGCGGAGGTCCACAAAGTCCACAAGATCCGCTCCTCGTGCGGCAACCTCCTGGTGCGTGTAAGAGGGTGCGGGGGCAGATGCAGCTCGACGGCGTCCTAACGCGTCGTGCCGCAGGTGGACTTCGGCTACGTGCTGTGGGGCAGACCAAAGCAGCCAGGTCCCCGTCGGAGACCACAGCATGGCCTCGTGTGGATCACCACGATGGCGCTGTGGGTCATGCCGGGGGCGATGGTCATCCTGTGGAGTGAGTACGTCGAGACAGGGGTGGAGCCCAAGAACGCATTGGCGCACAGCTTAATCAACGCCCAGCTGGGGTTCGGCATGATCGTGCTCTCCCTCTGCTTCCTGCGGCTCCATAGCTTCGCCACCGGCCTGCTCAGCGAGCTGCGACAGGCGAGTCTGCATGTCAGCTTGAAAATCGGCAGCAGGGCAGGGCCGCTCATGGTTTATTTTGTTCTGTTTTTGCGATTATTTTTAGACAGTTCCCAAGACAGGCTTTATTTTATGACTTCAAATTATCAGCAGAGCGATGCAGATGGGTTGACCAAAAGATTTGCATGTCCTCAGAAAATCGAACAATAGCATTCCTACTCACTTAACAGTTTGACAAGATCAATAGAAAAACAATGGTGGAAATCAACGCCCTTTTTGGAGTGTTAATGACTTTCGTGCCTTTACAGGGGCAGTGAAAGATTCGCAACCCTGTAAAGACACGAAAATGCCCCATAGGTGCCAAATTCAGTGCCCTTGTAGACTTTTGTCCCATTCAAAAGACATTAAAATTTAGTACTTTTGAAAGGCACCAAGTCCTATGTTTTTCCATTATGTCCGCAGTCCATTGTTGTAACGTAAACCCACTGTTGCAACAAGTGGGGAATTTTGTCCCACTACCAGTGGGACTGTCCTGTTAGATCTTGTCTGAGAGTGCCGGTGTGTGCAGGACCTAGCGGACCCAAGTCTGACACCAGAGCGCGTGCTTGAGTATCGGCGCACCTGGACGCTCCTGGCCGACTTGAACGGTGGCTTTATCGTCACGCCCATCTCCGTGCTGCTCCAGACGGTCATGCTCATTTTCCTGGTCACTCTACACTCGTACGAGGGCGTGGAGTGTTTACTTGCTGACAACCTGAAGGTCGTATTTAAGGGAGCCCTGACTTAACCCTCAACCTCGGTTCCACCCAGGACTGGAGTCACTTGTTTTTGTTTTACCTCCGCGTGCAGGTAGGGCTCATTATTTGGGTTGTCGGCGTGCCGTTCCCTATCCTGCTGTTCGCCTTATGTGAGGTCCCGCACCGGTCAGCAGACGTGGTAAGGGGTCTTCAAACACCTCGCCACATTTGTGCCTGCATTTCTGCCCTTAGTGGGAACTCTCGTACACATACACTTCCTTTTTTTCAAGATTCGTCGCCAATTTGAGGGAGTTCTACAGATGTCGAACTGTCGTTACGGAAACGATAAGACCTTTGAAGAGGTTGGTACCCAAACGACAATGAAAATGAAAACCGTTTTTTACTAAATTTACAAAAGAAAAAGAAAACTAATTTACAAGTGATATTGTAAATTTACGAGAGTATTCGTTTTCACAAAGGCAGAACTCAAGGCATAACTCCACAATTAAAATTTATAATATTACGATGTAAAAGACATAATGAAGAGCACAGCCCGAACCAGTTTGAAGCAAAGCAGTAACTATTTAATCATCTATGATTCCGTTTAGGTCCATAGATTTCTGGAGGTTGTTTGGTGGAGTAGTCCAGAAACGACAATCGGCGGATATTTCGAACTTAAAAGGAGTACCTTCAGAGCGGTACGTACAAATATCACAACCTATTGCCTTGTCACCGTTCTTCCTGGATTAAATTAATTCTGAGCTGTACCTTTCCAGATTGTCGCAATGATTGTGACTTATGGCCTTGTCCTTCTTCAGTTTAATTCCAGCGGTCACTCAACAGACCCCAACATATTCAACGGTAACTTAAGCACGCAGGGTTGAGTCCTGTGCAAATCGAACGAAGAGACAATCTCACCCTTGGATTTTCAGAGTGAAGTTTTGGAAGTGGTAGGAACGATTACTATCAAGGAAAAGAAGACTTCGTAGATGTTGCTAAACGAAAAGACTGAGTGCTTTATAAATCAAACGTGGTTCCTAGTATTTCAAATAGTGGTACGTGGTACACAGGACAGGTATAAGTCTTCCCATAAGACTTACAACAGGTGCTTTAGGCGTGATTGGAAATTGATTGCACCGACAAGAATTGGAGAAAGATTGGATCAAGGACTGTAGAAAGTGTGGCAGCCTGTGGCCCGGGGGAGCGGGCAAGGAATAGGTTATTGGTTGGAAACACGGGCGCGGCGAGCGTCCTGCGAAAATAAAGACTCGCGGCCCGGCCTTTGGGAGAGGGAAAGAGGAGCGGCCCAAAGTCAACAGAATAAAAAGGGGAAAGAGAAAAGGGGCCCGAGTCATTGCTGTTTGCGTGCCATAATGATGACATCCTGCCTGAGCCCAGACGCCGCGCCGCGCCCCGTGCATAGCGCGGCATAGGCTGACCCGGCGGGATCTCCGATTTATTGCCCAAAGGAGGCAAATAATAATAAAAAGTCGCGGAGTGAAAGAGTTCGGCGTGCCGTCGCCAGGGAGAGGGAGCGAGAGAGGATCCAGCAGCTCGACTCAAGCTAGAGCCCGGCAGCGCTGCCCGTGAGTGAAACAATGTGCACTGAGGTGGAGCACGTGATGGGGCCATAGGAATGTGGCGGGGTAGAGGGAAAGGGCGGGGCAGGGCAGGGACGGTGGGAATACGAGGACGGGAGGGAGGGTTGAGGAGAGAGCGATAGGAGGGAGCAGTTTTACAGATTCTCGTGAGGAGCGCGCGTCCGCCTGCCCCGTCCTGTCCGGGACCCATCTATCAATCCCCGCCCACCATGCCCCCCCTACGCCCGCCACGCCCCGCACCTTATTTTTATACACGAGAGGATGGATGTTGTATACACCATACGCAAATTAGGACGGAAGGGATGAAGGAAGTTGGGGCTGGGCGAGGAGAGCGGGAGCGGAGGAGGAGAACGGGCTGAGCCAGGCGGGGGCGTGTGAGCAGGGGGCGGGGGACCTGCAAAGTTAATGCGGCCAGATAAAAACAATGACTCGTCTTTTGCAATCTGTCCTCGAATCTGTCACACGTTTCTGCTGCCGGCGGCGGGATTCTCTTCCCCGAAGCGCGTCCCATCTCCGCCGCCCACTTCATCCGCGCTACTTCTTTTCCTTTCCATTTTTCCATGCCTTTCCCCCTTTACCTCTCTCTCTCCTCCAACTCCAACGCACAGCAGCGCCACGCTCAAACACTCCCACACAAGCACACTTGCGACGCCCTCCACTACAGCGCACAGAAGGCGTGGCGGGACGTATACAGAGAAGCATAAAATAAAAGCTCCTGCCGGTATTAGAACTCCTGGTACTCCCGGCGGCCGAGGCGGCCCCATGTGAAGTGGTGCACAGAGTGACTGCGCACATCTCGCCCCTTTTCCTCCTCCTCGCTCCACTGCACTACCCCTCCCTCTCCTTTTGGCTTTACGCGCGCTCCACAAGGGACCCCCGCCGTCGTTGTTTATACTTTTTTCCACACCCTCGCCCGCTCTTCTTTTTGAACACAGTGCTAGGGGGGACTATAACGTCCCTCGAGCGCGACACACCTGGACAACTGGTCCGGAAGAACGGCCGCTGGTCATCGACGCCGTCCCGCCCCGCGGCTTCCTCCGGAAATAAAACGCAAGGGAAAGAGGGGGTAGGGGGAGCCACTATGTGTAGTATGCTGGTCCCTGCTCACACGACTCGCGCGAAAAAAAGGCGAAATAAACATGGGAGTCTTTTGCGAACGGCCGACGAAAAATGTTGATTGCAGAACAAAAGGTATAGCAGTTAGTGGGGACAGTATGGGTCCGCCAGGTTTAATCAGAAGAAGTCTGAAGAAGTACACTAGAAAAGTAAGAAATAGACTTAACGTATTTCTAGGGGGATTAAATGGTAAGGACATTAAAACATTCTGAGGCCTACCATTGCTTTTCGCCCAGAATATTTTTTTTCAGGAGTCTTGTAAAACCAACCAGTCGCCGTAACCGTGCGAGGGGGGGGGGAAGAAAACCGCGCAATCGCAAACCCCTTCTTTGCTGTTATGGCAACTCTCAGCTGCCACTACAGCTCCCTGTGCCAGCCCCGCACCCTCCGCAGGAGCGCGCGCATTCCGCGGCCACTCCGGCACGTTTACCCGCTCATCAAGGCGAGTATTCATGACTTCCATGCCATTGGCCGGCGTTTGTTGCGCGCGAAATTGGTTTAGCGCGCAGCGCGTCAGGAGATAGTGAAGTGGGAGTGGGGAGGAGAGCTCAGCAGCTGGGTATCAATTGTGCCGCACGCATCCCTCCTCCTGCTACCCGCCACGCCCCGCCAACGCCCCGCCACACCCCCCGTCACGCCTCGTCACGCCCCGTCACGTGACGGGTGAGGGCCCGCCCCGCACGGACCACAGCGCCCGCAGTACGCAGCACAAACACGCGGGGAAATAATGCAAATCAGGTTGGAAGCCGGTTGGGGGGGGGG